GGGACTGAGGAACAAGTCTTTCCCCCACTTCGATGATTGGGAGGTCATATTCGGGAAAGACAGGGCATGTGGTGGTGATGCCCAGTCTTTCGCAGACGCGGCGCAGGATGTTCAACAAGACCCACCGTACGAAGAATACGATGAGATCCCTTCGCAGACCACGCAGCCCACCCAAAACCCGGGCAATGATGCCGGTCAGTCGTCGGGTACGGCATCTGAAAGTAATTCCAAGAGAGGGGGGAAGACGAGGGGCACAAAATGGAGGTCCGCACACTTGGTGGACGATCGTTTCATCGATGTCATGGAGACTTTCTCGCTGAACACGGATGGCCGGTTGGCCGAGCTCAGTGCCAGACTGGGCAACGAACAAGCGGCACAGGCTCAGGCGACGCAGGCTCAAATGGGTGAAGTAATGGATGCGCTCCGGACTTTCAACTTTCTATCCGGTGAGGAGCGAATGGTGATATGTCTGCGTTTATGCAACAATGCGAGGGAGCTTGCTATGTTTTTGGGCATGGGGGAAGAGGATAGGGCACTCATGGTGAGGGTCATCCGCGATGGTCGGGGGTAGTGTTGCTAGTGGGAAATGGTTGTGTGTTTTTATGTTGTCTTTTTCTTGTGAACGGTGTGAACTGTTATTGTTGGTCTTGTAGTTTTGTGGTTGTTGCGACATGTGTTTGTGGTATTGTTGGGATTTGTGAACGTGTTTGTGGTTTTGTTGTCCTTTTTGGGCATGTGGTTTTGTTGGGATTTATGAATGTGTTTGTGGTTTTTAGGACATGACCAATGAACTGTTATTTTTTTTATTAGAATGGTCACCATGTATTGTTAGTTTTTTTTACCTCTGTTTTTCTTCAACTTATTTATTTTATTTATTTTCTTTAAATTGTTATTTTCTTTATTTTTTCTTTATATTGTTAGAATTTTTTTTTTCTTCAACTTATTTATTCTTTATGCTATATCGCTCTTGCAGGGTCACTATAGCTACGTACAATGACAACCCGCCATGGGGGTGTTTCTACGTATATATGGACATGCCAGACTACCCCATCATGGTAAGTTAAAATTCATAACCTGAGAAAAAACTAATGACAAGATGAGACGCGAAAGAAAGAACCTCAAAACCTGAAAAAAACAAAGGGAAAAAAACAAAAAAAAAAAATGAAAGAAAAAACTTCAAAACTTGAAAAAAAAAATGACAATATGAAATATAAACTTTCGTAGGGCATTGAAGAAGCGGAATGTTACTTTGGGAGACACGTGATGCCTTTTCCAGTTACTCTTGTAACTGTTGAAGGCCGTCACTACCCAATGGACATGTGCAAAATTCGAGGTCCAAATGAGTACGACCCAAGGGTTAGTTTGCATTTTGCAAATGGTTGGCAACGTTACGTTCAATCGGAGGATATACGTCAGGGGTACTATTTGTATTTTGAACGGGATGAGTTCAGAACGTTCAACGTGAAGGTCTATACTTGTAATGATATAGAGAGGCCTCCACAGAACCGGTTTACCATCAAAATTAAAAAAACTCACGTTGAGCGTGCTCTTTTGGTAAGTGAATGCTTTCATATTTTACAGTTGCACCTTTCGTCAACATTGTTGTTGCATAATTAATAAAATGTTATCGTGTTTAATATTATTTTTTATTTTTTGTTGTTGTAAAGCCCATACCAATGCAATTTTGGAACGCACATATTGAAGGACAGGTTCCAGAGATAGACCGTGCAGTGCTTATGTTCAAGGGGGAGACATATTCGATGTATATAGATCGATCTCATGGTAAGAGGCGGCTGAAAGATGGCGATATGCGCCATTTCTTTGAAGAAAATGAGGTTGAGGAGGATTCGGAGTGGGTCTTTACATTGATTTCGTTTAGGTATCCTTGGTTTAGAGTGGTCAAAATTTGTGTGTAGCATGTATTTGAACGGTAAACTTTTGAACACTTTTCTGTATTGAATATTGGTATTTGGCGTGAAATGATGTACGGTGGCTGTTAGCATAATTCTAGGTTTATTAAGACATTGTTTTATGGTTTATTTGTGTTTGAACTGGTAACTCCTATAATATGGCTATAATGAAATATTTTTCATTCAGCTCTGTCATGTATACAAATAAACATGGTACGTAACCCATAAATGGTACATAAATTAAGAAACGTAGATTATGCCTCAATATCCTTCATAACCATACAGAAGACCACGCCTAATACATACCTTGCCTATTACATAATACAAACACAACTGCCTACGCCTTAAAGATGCTACGCATAGGTCATAAAAACAGACGCGGTGGTACAACTACAGAACATGCAAAATAAACATGCAGTAACCATAAAACAAACATAATAGTTAATAACAAACATAATAGTAAAAAAAAATTAAAACAAACAACCAACCACGACTAACATAATGGGACACCACTGAAACAAGAACAAACATAGAAGGAGAGGATGCACTGACGAGGCTAATTCCATGGCCAATAATGCGTGTAATCCATAGGAGTGACAGAACATGCAGTGGATGTAGAATGTTCTTCCGGTTCATGTGCACCGTCAGTGGAGTTGTCGTTTCTGGGCTGGTTCACGGAGACATCATTAGACCCGGTTTGACTATGAATGGATTGTTTCGGTTTAGGGGCCTTCGAAGTGCTACCCATATAAAAGGCCGGACGCGGTGGTTGTTTCTTACGGGGGATGTCTGTT